AGCCGAACACACACACACGCTTCCCCAGATCCTGAGCCGAACACACACACGCTTCCCCAGATCCTGAGCCGAACACACACACGCTTCCCCAGATCCTGAGCCGAACACACACGCTTCCCCAGATCCTGAGCCGAACACACACACACGCTTCCCCAGATCCTGAGCCGAACACACACACGCTTCCCCAGATCCTGAGCCGAACACACACACGCTTCCCCAGATCCTGAGCCGAACACACACACACGCTTCCCCAGATCCTGAGCCGAACACACACACGCTTCCCCAGATCCTGAGCCGAACACACACACGCTTCCCCAGATCCTGAGCCGAACACACACACACGCTTCCCCAGATCCTGAGCCGAACACACACACGCTTCCCCAGATCCTGGGCCGAACACACACATGCTTCCCCAGATCCTGAGCCGAACACACACACGCTTCCCCAGATCCTGAGCCGAACACACACACATGCTTCCCCAGATCCTGAGCTGCACACACACATGCTTCCCCAGATCCTGAGCCGCACACACACACGCTTCCCCAGATCCTGAGCCGCACACACACATGCTTCCCCAGATCCTGAGCCGCACACACACACACTTCCCCAGATCCTGAGCCGAACACACACACGCTTCCCCAGATCCTGAGCCGAACACACACATGCTTCCCCAGATCCTGAGCCGAACACACACACGCTTCCCCAGATCCTGAGCCGAACACACACACATGCTTCCCCAGATCCTGAGCCGCACACACACACGCTTCCCCAGATCCTGAGCCGAACACACACACGCTTCCCCAGATCCTGAGCCGCACACACACACACGCTTCCCCAGATCCTGAGCCGCACACACACACGCTTCCCCAGATCCTGAGCCGCACACACACACGCTTCCCCAGATCCTGAGCCGCACACACACACGCTTCCCCAGATCCTGAGCCGCACACACACATGCTTCCCCAGATCCTGAGCCGCACACACACACGCTTCCCCAGATCCTGAGCCGAACACACACACGCTTCCCCAGATCCTGAGCCGCACACACACACGCTTCCCCAGATCCTGAGCTGCACACACACACGCTTCCCCAGATCCTGAGCCGCACACACACATGCTTCCCCAGATCCTGAGCTGCACACACACACGCTTCCCCAGATCCTGAGCCGCACACACACACGCTTCCCCAGATCCTGAGCCGCACACACACACGCTTCCCCAGATCCTGAGCCGAACACACACACGCTTCCCCAGATCCTGAGCCGAACACACACACGCTTCCCCAGATCCTGAGCCGAACACACACACGCTTCCCCAGATCCTGAGCCGCACACACACATGCTTCCCCAGATCCTGAGCTGCACACACACACGCTTCCCCAGATCCTGAGCCGCACACACACACGCTTCCCCAGATCCTGAGCCGAACACACACACGCTTCCCCAGATCCTGAGCCGAACACACACACGCTTCCCCAGATCCTGAGCCGAACACACACACGCTTCCCCAGATCCTGAGCCGAACACACACACGCTTCCCCAGATCCTGAGCCGCACACACACACGCTTCCCCAGATCCTGAGCCGAACACACACACGCTTCCCCAGATCCTGAGCCGCACACACACACGCTTCCCCAGATCCTGAGCCGAACACACACACGCTTCCCCAGATCCTGAGCCGAACACACACATGCTTCCCCAGATCCTGAGCCGAACACACACACGCTTCCCCAGATCCTGAGCTGCACACACACACGCTTCCCCAGATCCTGAGCCGAACACACACACGCTTCCCCAGATCCTGAGCCGCACACACACACGCTTCCCCAGATCCTGAGCCGAACACACACACACTTCCCCAGATCCTGAGCCGAACACACACACGCTTCCCCAGATCCTGAGCCGAACACACACACACTTCCCCAGATCCTGAGCCGAACACACACACGCTTCCCCAGATCCTGAGCCGAACACACACACACTTCCCCAGATCCTGAGCCGAACACACACACGCTTCCCCAGATCCTGAGCCGCACACACACACGCTTCCCCAGATCCTGAGCCGAACACACACATGCTTCCCCAGATCCTGAGCCGAACACACACACGCTTCCCCAGATCCTGAGCCGCACACACACACGCTTCCCCAGATCCTGAGCCGCACACACACACGCTTCCCCAGATCCTGAGCCGAACACACACACGCTTCCCCAGATCCTGAGCCGCACACACACACGCTTCCCCAGATCCTGAGCCGAACACACACACGCTTCCCCAGATCCTGAGCCGCACACACACACACTTCCCCAGATCCTGAGCCGCACACACACACGCTTCCCCAGATCCTGAGCCGAACACACACACGCTTCCCCAGATCCTGAGCCGCACACACACACGCTTCCCCAGATCCTGAGCCGAACACACACACGCTTCCCCAGATCCTGAGCCGCACACACACACGCTTCCCCAGATCCTGAGCCGAACACACACACGCTTCCCCAGATCCTGAGCCGAACACACACATGCTTCCCCAGATCCTGAGCCGCACACACACACGCTTCCCCAGATCCTGAGCCGCACACACACACACGCTTCCCCAGATCCTGAGCCGCACACACACACACTTCCCCAGATCCTGAGCCGCACACACACACGCTTCCCCAGATCCTGAGCCGCACACACACACACGCTTCCCCAGATCCTGAGCCGCACACACACACGCTTCCCCAGATCCTGAGCCGAACACACACACACGCTTCCCCAGATCCTGAGCCGAACACACACACACGCTTCCCCAGATCCTGAGCCGCACACACACACACGCTTCCCCAGATCCTGAGCCGAACACACACACGCTTCCCCAGATCCTGAGCCGCACACACACACACGCTTCCCCAGATCCTGAGCCACACACACACACGCTTCCCCAGATCCTGAGCCACACACACACACGCTTCCCCAGATCCTGAGCCGAACACACACACGCTTCCCCAGATCCTGAGCCGAACACACACACGCTTACCCAGATCCTGAGCCGCACACACACACACGCTTCCCCAGATCCTGAGCCGAACACACACACGCTTCCCCAGATCCTGAGCTGCACACACACATGCTTCACCGGATCCTGAGCCGAACACACACACGCTTCCCCAGATCCTGAGCCGCACACACACACGCTTACCCAGATCCTGAGCCGCACACACACACGCTTCCCCAGATCCTGAGCCGCACACACACACGCTTCCCCAGATCCTGAGCCGAACACACACACGCTTCCCCAGATCCTGAGCTGCACACACACATGCTTCACCGGATCCTGAGCCGCACACACACACGCTTCACCGGATCCTGAGCCGCACACACACACGCTTACCCAGATCCTGAGCCGCACACACACACACGCTTCCCCAGATCCTGAGCCGCACACACACGCTTCCCCAGATCCTGAGCCGAACACACACACGCTTCCCCAGATCCTGAGCTGCACACACACACGCTTCCCCAGATCCTGAGCCGAACACACACACACGCTTCCCCAGATCCTGAGCCGCACACACACACGCTTCACCGGATCCTGAGCCGCACACACACACGCTTACCCAGATCCTGAGCCGCACACACACACGCTTCCCCAGATCCTGAGCCGCACACACACACGCTTCACCGGATCCTGAGCCGAACACACACACACTTCCCCAGATCCTGAGCCGAACACACACACACTTCCCCTGATCCTGAGCCGCACACACACACGCTTCCCCAGATCCTGAGCCGAACACACACACACTTCCCCAGATCCTGAGCCGAACACACACACGCTTCCCCAGATCCTGAGCCGCACACACACACGCTTCCCCAGATCCTGAGCCGAACACACACACGCTTCCCCAGATCCTGAGCCGAACACACACACACGCTTCCCCAGATCCTGAGCCGCACACACACACGCTTCACCGGATCCTGAGCCGCACACACACACGCTTACCCAGATCCTGAGCCGCACACACACACGCTTCCCCAGATCCTGAGCCGCACACACACACGCTTCCCCAGATCCTGAGCCGCACACACACACGCTTCCCCAGATCCTGAGCCGCACACACACACGCTTCCCCAGATCCTGAGCCGAACACACACACGCTTCCCCAGATCCTGAGCCGCACACACACACACTTCCCCAGATCCTGAGCCGCACACACACACGCTTCCCCAGATCCTGAGCCGAACACACACACACTTCCCCAGATCCTGAGCCGCACACACACACGCTTCCCCAGATCCTGAGCCGAACACACACACACTTCCCCAGATCCTGACACTTTCACGTCAGTCCTGCACAAAACAGACAGCTTCTGTTGATCCGGTGTCCTGATTGGTCTCCACTCGTACCTCATTTGCATACTGAATCATGATTGGTCTGTTCTTTCTCACATTTATGGACCCACATTTATCTCCAATAACGACACTATTGTCGTCTGTAGAGCTGAAGAAACTCGTTTCATATGTGATGAACTTTACACAGTTATTGAACTGAACTGAATCAACACTGAACTGAATAATGACTCAATTGTCTTCTGTAGACATGTGTCTCTATTGTTTCTGTTTATTGAGTGTGTGTGTGTGTGTGTGTGTGTGTGTGTGTGTGTGTGTGTGTGTGTGTGTGTGTGTGTGTGTGTGTGGAAGTGCTTCAGGCATCATCTGTATTCCTAATATTATATGTTCTCTACATCTTAAGGAAGCACTGCAGGGTGTATGAATTAATAAAACTGAAAAAAAAATCACTAACGCATTCAAATATTTGCAGGGTTTTGAGAATCAGTGGCACTGATGTTAAACCTCAGCAGAGCTGAAGCATCTTAACCGGAGTGAGATGAAACATGAATAAATGAGATGAAACATGAATAAACGTGTGGTTTAGTGGTTAAGATCCTGTAGTTCTCGTGTGAAAGGACTGATCCTGCTGGAAAGTCACTTCGGATGAAAGCGTCTGGAAATGAATGATTGTACTTCAGTTCATCGGCTCTTTCTCTGGAGGATTCTCACGTTTGCTAAAAGCGTTCGGGAATCCCGTCGTCTCCCAGATCCATGACATAATCTCCAGGACTGTGTGTTCTGGAGAAGTGTGTGTGTCCCGTGAGAGCGCTGCGTTGGGAATACCGCCAGAACATTTGCTTTGAGCTTTTTTTTTAACATGTTTAGAACTAATTACTACTCTGCACAAATATATAAACATTATTAACTAAGATACATATACTGGAGAAGCGAAACGACGGAACAAATGAAGTGAGTTTGTGCTTAAAACAAGAACAAATATCTGCCAATGGGGTCCGAAAATATAGATATTAATAAAGAGTTCCGTCAGGCACTTCCCATCATCTTATGGGTTCATCTTTACTTCATTAGTTGTATTAACTGTACTTGACTTTATTTCATGTAACTTACACATCAACTGTGTATTTTCACTGTTAGGTGTCGAGTGCATCACTCATACACGTGAAACACTGAAGTGCTGTTAAACTCAGAAACTCTAAGACTTTTACTCGAGTCGTACTGTAATGGCTGACTTGTAACTTGTAGCTGACTCCTCCTCTCTGTCTGTGCTTTACTCAGGTGTGGTTTCAGGATCTCCGCTCCACAGAACCACCGAGTCTTTCTTTCTAAGATGTGGGCGAAGAGTGCTTTGATCCAGTGAATAACTGGCGTTCTCTTCTTCTCTCCGCAGGGAAAGAGGAATCGGTCGCCACGTTCAAGGGGAACGAGTTCTTCTGCTACGATCTGTCCATGACCCCCATCCAGAGCAGCACGGACGAGATCACGCTGTCCTTCCGGACGCTCCAGCGCAACGGCCTGATGCTCCACACCGGCAAATCTGCGGATTACGTCAACCTGTCTCTGAAGAGCGGCGCCGTGTGGCTCGTCATCAACCTGGGCTCCGGAGCCTTCGAGGCCCTCGTGGAGCCGGTCAACGGGAAGTTCAACGACAACGCCTGGCACGATGTCAAAGTCACGCGAAACCTGCGACAGGTAAGACTAAGCTCGCTTTCTCCAGACGTGGAGATCGATCCCCGACTGGGACAGACAGCGTGCTCTTCCTCAGTGTTCCTCGGTTACAGCACTTGATTTAACGCCCTCTGGTGCTCTTCGTCATTCCTGACCCAACTGTTTTACAAATGTTTTGCAATTTTTTCGTCATCGGATTGGTAAAGGTTTTGGCACTTGCTGTGAACACACAAAATAATCATGGACACGATTTGAACAGGTTAAATAGTCCTGAATATAACAGTCACACCTGTGTTTCTGGCGGTCAGAAACGAGCGCATTGGAAATGAATGGAGAGTTTCCTCTAGTGGAAGCGTGTGGAACTGCAGCCGAACACACTCTCACTGAACGCTCGTTTACAGAGAGATCAAGATCACATGCGGGACACACCGGTGGAGACTTATGCCTTTGATTTGTTCACAGTTTTAGAGTAAAACATGTTTGTGGGAAATATATATTTCATATCAAATTTTAAAATAGCATTTTTCATAACAATAAACGTAAAATTCTGTAACTTTTAAAACATTTTTTCCACCTCAGCAATAATCTGCCGAGTGTCGTCTTTGAGAAGAGATCGAGCTTCAGTCTGTCGCTCTAAAGCGTTCAAGATTCTCCAGTTTAAGCTGGACATGTGAATAAATGGAGTATAAATACAGCGTAAATATAATTTAGTACCATAAAATCCCCTAAAAATGCAAAATATTAAATAAAAAAACATTTATTGGAGAAGAAGCGAATGACTGAAGATATGAAGTGTTGCTCTCTGAAATACTGAGGAAGAACAGTTCGAGGTCGGGAATCACATGGGAGAGGGCGTGATCACACCGTGAATGATCATTGGCTGTAGACGTTTCCGGCGACGCCCACAACCCCTGGTGCTTCCCGACAGGTCTGAGATCAGCGCTGTGTGTTTTCTTCTCGTTACACTGGATCCGGACAGAATCGGACCCGTGCTTCAGCTTCAGGACTTCATTATGTGCACCGTAACTTAATGTCCAGAGAAGAGCTGTCCATCTGACACTGACTCGAAGCTAATGAAGTCTGCAGGCCTTAGGGGACGAACTCGCCACTCGCGCTGCAGGATCGAATCAAGGGTTTAATGATTGGACCTGATTAGACTGAGAAAGAACAGAAATGAACAAATAACAGCACTGAACACATTATAACACTGCCAAGACTTATTCAACACAACGAGACGTGTTTTACTATGGCAGAGCAAACACAGCCTCCACACTGATGACTCAGAGATTCACACACACACACACACACACACACACAGCTTTGTTTTTGTGATATATGAGGACATTCCATAGGCGTAATGACTTTTATACTGGACAAACTGTATATTCTATCCCCCTACACTGCCCCTATCCCTAAACCTACCCATCACAGGAGACATGCTGCATTTTTACATAAAAAAACCCCCATTGTTTTTTATGTTTTTTAAGCTATTTGAAA